AACCTGCCATCGTTTCAAAGGATTTTTGAGTAGCACAACGTAAAACAAATGGGAAAATGTCCTTATCTGGAAAAGGCCGGTTGTGTTACTTCTAAAGTGTATAGAACAGATTTTAACTTGGGTGACTGCTGTTTGTCTTGCCTGAGGAAGGATTTTTGCTGATCACGTGGCTTTGTTTTTCATGTAGGGTGCAGTTTATCTCAGCGCAGTGAGGGCCTGATCTAAAACCCTTACGTCAATAGAAAGACTCCTGTAATTATCAAGGGGGTTTGGATCAGGCCATGACCCTCCCCAAGGTCCTAAAGTTGACTTCAACTCACATCAAGGGCTTAAAGGGCACTTGAGTTTTGTAAATATCGCCCATAATTCCCTAAGGAGACGTGTGCACTGAATGCAGCTATCGTTGACCGGGATTGAGGAATGGGAAGTCCCAGATTTAATTTACAGGCATCAGGTCCATCTTGCTGTGGGTGATAGGAGACTTTCTAAGTTATGGGCCAAACTCATCCCTGATGGAACTCCATTGTCCTTGGAGGGATTACGACGAGGAATGAATCTGTCCCAGTGTGTTTCATGCCAAAGGTTTCAAGACAGGAAGTGGGTCTTGTGGGGGAAAATTAAGCCCTATTAGTCTAGGCTTTTCTGCTTGGCCTGGGCCTGCCCAGCGGCTAACAGGCCCAAGCCTGAACCAAGCGAAGTGCAGTTTTGTATCAGGGGCACAGTTCCTTGCTGCTACCCCCAACGCGTTGGTGTGTGTTCAATAAGCAGGCCTCAGGCTTGATTCTCTGAACTAAAATCAATGCGTGGGTAACTTTTTCCATGACAATCTAAAGCATGATCTCTCTGTATTATTTAGACAGACGAGATTACATGATTTTTTCACTTCAAGACTCTCACAGGCAATTGCTTGTGGTTGGGTGCCTGAATAAACAAGCCTGCTTGTTCTTCTCCCCAAATGTTCATGGAATGACGTTGGATTTCTGAGGAACCTGCTGTGTCTTAAGCTCTACAAGGAGCTGTGGATTGGCTGCATCGAAATTTTAGCTCCAAAGACACAGGACCACTTCAGGGTTCAATATTAGAAGCAATGACGAAGCACGTGAGAAAATATTTTGTTTAAATGATTCAAGAGGAGACGGGGCTTGGAAGTGGCATGCAAATGTGAGTACACAATTTCCCATGCAGAGTAGTGTGGGTTGTAGCTTTCGGATGGAATGGCCTTTGGGGTTAAACACAACCAGTATGGTCATGACTAGCATTGGGGGAAACAGCTGCCATTAGTATGTTAGCAGCTCCAGACATATGGCAAAATGCCGTCACCACGCCAATATTCGGGGGAAAGGGAGAAAAAGGCGAGACTGTACGTAAAGATTGTTCCCTGGACTGAGGCAACGTTCTATGGGATTTGTATTTCAGTGTCTGTTCAGACTGCAAGCTCATTTGGCTGGCGGGGGAGAGGCATGGAAGCGCATCCTCAGCGAAATCAGTGGAGCTCCACTGACATTGGTGGAGGGACCCGGATCACCAGCAGCTGAGGCCGAGGACCCATATTTTTTCTGAGTGTCTTGTGCCGGGAGGAGCACGTTGCTGGCCCTTTGCCAATCATCATTATAATATTGGTCTCTGCCTAATTTTTACTCCTAGCCCCATCCACCGCACCATTTTCCCCACATGCCAAATAAAAACAATATATATGCTGACTGGAGAGGGGTAGCGTCGAAGCAAACGGTTGCCTCAATCCTTCCTTTGCTGTGCTTGTGGCCCCTTTGTCGACTCAAAACATGACAAAAGACGAACAACTAGCTTACAACTTACAATAGTTCACCCGTGTGTGCTTCCCCCCACCCCCTTAGAATAACTGAGTGCAAAAGATCACAAAAATAAGTAGCAATACATTGAAATATTTCCAAGTCCTAGAGGCATGGCTCAAAAGGAACAACAGAAGAAAACAAAATATGTGTCAGGCCCAACATTCCCTACCCCCAAAAGAAAATAATGTTTCGAATTTCATGAAGGAAACATACACAGCAGGGCCTCGTGGATTGACATGCGATATCAAGTACTTATCATTGGCTAAAGAAAATGCAACAAAGCCCAGAACTCAATGAAAGAAATAATTGTTTTAAGCCTTGTAGCTGTGAAATAACTGGCTTTAGAGAAGGGAATAAGAACAAAGGGCATGGCGCAACTCCCAGTGAAGTCAATACAAAGTCCCCCCGATTGACTCCAATGGACGTTGGATCAGGTTTAGCTATATTGCTTGCCTGGTTTGATAGAAAGGCATCTCAAAAACTGCATGAAAGCTTCGAAATAGCACTTGTGTTTTAGCGTCTAGCAAGGGATCAGCTTTCGCCTGGGTGCTTTATTGGGCATCATTTGGTTTCTGCAAAAAGAATAACCCTTTGTACCTATGAATGCCTTGCACTACATAACAACTCTCAGAAGCAACGGGCTTAATTCTGTCTACAGTAGACATTTTTTTTCTAGGTAAAGGCAGATGTCATTTTGACAGCAATTGGAATAAGATGGTGGCATTAAAAGAGGGTCAGATTCTGCTCCTGGTTACACTAGTGTAAATCCAGAGTAACTCAGTTGACTTCAGTGGAGTTACTGCAGATTTCTTTTGGGGTGAGAGCAGATTTTGAGCCAAAGATGGGTCTTTTGATGCCACAAGGGAAGAAGAAAGAAACGAAAAGGTGTACAATGAAGGCAGTTTTCAAGTGCTCCCATAAACTCAGGGTCCAATCCAGCTCCCAATGAAACTATTGTCCAAATTCCCATTGATGTCAATAGGAAAAGGATCAAGCCCCATGTTAGTAGCCAAATCATACTGCACCACGGGCTGTATTGACCCAATATGGGTGCGTGTGTGTGAAATAGCCTGCACACTAATTAACAAAAACATCTAATTAAAATAAGTATTTTAAACTTTGGGGGGGAAAGCCTCTTCTGTAGGGTAAATCAGTAAAGAAGGTTTGCGGTCTATTACAGGAGTGGGTGGGTGAGGTTCTGTGGCCTGCAATGTGCAGGAAGACAGACTAGATGATCATGATGGTCCCTTCTGACCTCAAAGTCTGTGCATTTTCTTTTAAGAATGAATAGACAGCAATAGTCAAAACCTTACTGCTGGAGATGTCGCCTTCATTGTACACTTGGCATTAGCATAACCTGAGCAGCGATAGTCAGGAAAGATTGACAGCTTCAATAAGCACACAGGGCCCAATGCAATGAATTACTGTGCATCTCCTGTGAGGTCCTGGGTCTCTTCCATCTAGCTTAGGCTTTGTTTGTTTGTTTTAAATATGACAAGTTCAAAAGAGCCTGTGTAACTTAGGAGCCTTTAGTCCTATTTTAAAAAGGGAGTGAGGACCAAATTTTCAAAGGTATTTAGTTAGGTGCCTAATGTTTTGTTTAGGTTTTTTTGGGGGGGGGGGCACCTAAGCAGGTTAGGCACCTAACGCACATTGATTTCAAATGGGAGTTAGTCACCTAAACCTGCTTAGGCACTTTTGAAAATCCCACTAGGTTAATACCTACTTCTTAGAAGCCACCATACCATTGATTTTCAAAGGCATTTAGGCACCTAAGAGCCACATTTCAGTTGATTTCAATGGAAGTTAGGTGCCTAGAGGGATTTTCAAAAGTGCCTAGGCACCTATCTAGATCTTTAAGCACCTGAAGATCTTTAAAAATTTGTCCCCAAGTCCCTAAGACAGTTCTGAAAATGGGACTTAGTTAAAAATTCTCAAAAGTGCCTAAGTCACTTGGCAAACTGAGTACTGTATCGCTGTGGCATATACATGACATTGGAATTGATGGGAACTTGTTGCTGAGTAAAGATTTCAGGACCTGACCAAAATACTTCAAAATAGGAATTGAGTTCATTTAGTCCCTTAGGCTATGTTTACACTACAAGCGACGGGTGTGGTTCCCCTGCTCACATACAAGTGCTCCCGCTAGCTCTCATTGCATGAGTATAAATAGCAGTGTAGCCCTGATAGCACAGGTAGTGGCTATCTGAGCCAGGCTGACCACCTTCTGGTCCAGTAAAGAAATCCAGATGGAGAATGAAGTTGGCACGTTTGTTAAAGTCGATGCACTGAAGGACAGATCCGGTAGTCCAATCCTGTTCCTACTGGAGTAAATGCAAATTTTCATCACTGATTCAATAAAAGCAAGATCAGCATAATAGCTGGTTGAAATTTTCTGAACTTGGTTTTCTTGGTTGAAAATTGGCCTTTTTTCAAAAATGAAACTTTTCTTGAAGCATTTCCACAGCATCAGAATTGTCCATAAACTCTTCTGAGCTATTGTTATGGAAATAGTTTTCAAAAACTTTTGTTTACTGAGAAATTTGTTTTCCCACTGAAAACTGGGTTTTCGGTAAGAGAAATTAAAATGAAAAGATTGAGAGAACAATTTTGGTGACGGGGAAAAAAATAAGGAAAAAGGATCTAGTCAGAATTCTACAAAATGGCAACAAGTCTGAAATTTTGAAGTTTTCTTTCTGCAAAAAATGTTTCCCCATGTTTTTGACCAGTTCTCGTTAGTATATTAATAAACAGATGATGATTGCATAAAAGAAACAGATCCAAACCACTAAAAAAAGGAAAAATTAGTCGGACTGTTTGCTTCCTACAGTTAATGCAGCATATTCTCATTGACTAGGATGCTAATTTGTTGCTTTCCATTATTTTTTTCATTGCAAGAATATAATACCCTAGTTTAGCATTTTGAGTGTAACGTGCATACACAATTTGTTAACTTGTCTAAGCAGTTTCTTACTGGTTTGAATAGCTGTGTGTTTATGTCCAATATATCTGTATGTATAGATCCGGGGTTCTCAAACTGGGGGTCAGGACCCCTCAGGGGGTCATGAGGCTATTATGTGGGGGGCGAGGGGGGGAGCTGTCAGCTTCCACCTCAAACCCCGCTTTGCCTCCCACATTTATAATGGTGTTAAGTATATAAAAAAGTGTTTTTAATTTATAAGGGGGAGGGGGTCACACAGTACAAAAGTTTGAGAATCACTGGTATAGATAGATGTATTTATCCTCATGTGTATGTCTCTCTCTGGCACACACACACACACACACACACACACACACACACACACGCACACCTCTAACTAAATTTTCCTGAAACTTTACTAATCTTACTTGCCTGCCCTATACTGTGATGTTTAATGATGGTGATTAAAAACAAAAACAAACCCTTTAATTTGCCCATCAAAAGAATAATCCAGGGTGTATACAATTTCACAACACTGATTGTGACTAAACATTTGCGTAATCTCATTGAAGTTAATGCCACTTTTCACATGCTTAAACTTCAATATGTGCTGAAGTGGTTTGCTGGATTGGGGATTATACGTGTGTTTATACCCACACCCACACCTCACATGCATGTACCCACCCAGAGCTATATATGGGGCCACCAACACTCTTCCAGATACAAACAACATCTAACTAGCTGGTGTGGTGGTGATGCTTTGCTACTGTGCCTTGCAGGTGTTCCTAGCCTCTGTTGGCCAGAAACTGGGAATGAGTGACAGGGGATGGATCACTTGATGATTATCGGTTCTGTTCATTCCCTGTCCGAAGAACAGATATTGGGCTAGATGGACCTTTGCTCTGAGCCCGTATGGCCGTTCTTATGTTCTGCTGGGCAGTTTTGCTATCCATTGGCCTAAGGTGGTAGACCCGGGGTGGGCAAACTTTTTGGGCTGAGGGCCACATCTGGGTGGGGAAATTGTATTCAGGGCCGGGGCAGGGGGTTGGGGTATGGGAGGGAGTGCGGTGTGTAGGAAGGGGATCAGGGAAGAGGAGGGGTGCTGGGTGTATGAGGGGGCTCGGAAGGGGGCAGGGGTGCAGGGTGCTCAGGGCAGGGAGTTGGGGTGCAGGAGGGATGTGAGGTGCAGGCAGGGGCCTTACGGCACGGAATTGGGGGGCGGGGCGCAGGAGGGGTTCAGGCTTCGGCCCGGCACTGCTTACCTAAAGCGGCTCCGGGGTGGCAGCGGTGTGCACCGGGGCCAGGGCAGGATCCCTGCATGCCTGTCTTGTCCCCGGCCCTGCGCCACTCCAGGAAGCGCTGTGGCCCCTGGGGGCAGGGGAGCAGAAGGCTCCGTGTGCGCCTCCAGGTATCTCCCCTGAAGCTCCCATTGGCCGCGGTTCCCCGTGGTGCCTGCAGACAAGGGCAACACACGGAGCCCTCTGCCCCCCCAAGAGGGCCGCAGGGAAGTGGTGCCTGCCGCTTCTGAGAGCAGCGCGGGGCCACAGGGGGCAATCTCATGGGCCGGATCCAAAGCCCTGACTAGGGCCATCCCTACAACTTGAGAATGCTTGGCACCTTGCAGGCTCAGACTCTAGGACTGCATGAAGCAATCTTGTCCTCTCAGGGACTTAAATAATGAGGGGATTCTATTTGATTGCTCATCCCTTCCCTAATCTATCCATTTAATTACTGTACTTGCTTGGGACTAGATCACTCTATCTTACTGTGACTTTTTATATAAAGAAAAGAAGAATATGTAGCCAAGCACAAAGATTATTTATAATCTGCCATGTTGACCAGGGAAAAATACATGGCACAGTAATGGGGGGCGGGAGATCAGAATACAATGTGGATTTTGATTCCCCATCTCTTCTTCCTAAAGGCAATACATGTTTGGGGGAATTAATAGCTCCTTCTCAGTGAGAGCATTCAAAATGAGATAACTTGGACAAAACCATGCTGAAAATAATGAAGAAAAACCTGGAGTCCATAGAAAGGGAGATGAACATTTGTTCCTATGTATGCTTGTCCCCGCGTCCACCTGTAACATGCAAAGCAGAGCAGCTTTATCTATGGAAGAAACTCTTTGCTGAGAATTTCCTTAGGTGCATTCCTTTCTGCATCTTTCACTATCTTCCTGCTAATGAGTCCGTCATGGCATGCAAAGGCACTCATAACCAAATGTCATACAAGCCGCTGGCACAAGACGCGGTGGCTGCTGGCTGGCAGGAGCTGGGAGAAGCAGCGCCATCCTTCCTTTAAGTTTAAGCTTGCCTTGTAAAGCAGATCGGTTGGCCTGACGATCGTTGTATTAGCCTAGCTTTTACTGATCTCACTCACCCCCAAAGACGGTCAAGAGACCAAAGATGACTGTAGTGTAACTCAGTGAGCGTGCTGAATAGCAAACCAAGACTGTCTCATATTCCTTCTCAACATCTACTTCCCTGCGGCCTATCAGCCACCATCTGCAACCATTAATCCAAGCTCCCTACAATTATTTAATCCCCTCCCCAGCCCCCTCTCCCGCCCGCTATACAGCCCTGGCCATCTGGGGCTTTGTGCAGCTGCAGTGCTTTCTATTGTTTGTTATTGGTCCCTTTGCTGCAGCAAGATCTGGTAGTGCAAACCCTTGTGACCATGTGGACTCCATATGGGTCCAGGGGTCCTGATGTACGGCTGATTCCCTAGAGCCTGAACCAAAGCCCCCTGAAATCAATGGGAAGACTCCCCTTTTCTCTTGGGCATTGGATCAGATCCTTAGACTGTTAAGCTCCCAGGACGGGCCCTGTATGACATTAAACACACATCTAGCATCTGGGATGGGACCATCATGCAAGCTCACGCTGGGCTCAAGCTCCCCCTCCCCCCCGCACTATTTTTTGAGTGAAAGAGAAATTTGATTCCACGTTCAGTGATCCGTCAGAAAGAATAGAGGAGGCAGATTAGAGTCCCTTCTACTTCCGCTAGCCAGTGTCCCCAAACAGGAGAGAACAGAAAACCATTGGAGAAAGGGAGAGAAGAAAATTAAAAATCCAGAACTTAGTCAAATTCATTCACAAGGAGAAAATTGTAAAGGAGCATGTACTAAGTGTTATCATAGCCATGTGAGTCCCAGGATATTAGACAAGGTGGGTGAGGTAATATCTTTTATTGGACCAATTTCTGTTGGCGAGAGAGACAAGCTTTCGAGCTTAGACTGACGAAAAGCGCTGTGTACGCTCAAAAGCTTGTCTCTTTCACCAACAGAAGTTTGTCCACAAAAGATGTTAACCTCATCCAGTTTGTCTGGCGCAGATTTTTAAAAGCCACCTTTTCCTTAGCTTTGAGGGGAAACATCCTGGTTTCTACAAACAGGAAGCACCATCGCTTCATTCATGCAGTTTTTTAAAAGCAATTTAATAACAATTTTGGCTTTTTTATATGAATCAGCAGAATTTAGATCTCATGGTTTGGGTGGGGTTGGTTTGTCTTCTTCTTTTGTTTGTTTTTTGCCACAGTCGCTTAAGTGTTTGACCTCAGCACAAGATCATTCTCTATATGATGTTAGCGTGTGTATGCTGTACTTCTAATGTTTCAGACAAGTCATCAGAGAAATTTATAGAGCACCTAAGTCCTAGAAGCCTCCTAAAACCCTTTAAGTACTATCTTCCATGCTTCATCTAGAATTATGCTAGAGTACGTTGGTTCTAAATAGTCATACTTATGAGACGGAGGTATACAAGGTGCACTGGAATGAATTTTGTCCAATGCTGTTATCAGTATTCCTGTATTTTTTAAAAACATTTGTAAGCCTAAAAGTTACAGTAAAAGGATGGGGGAAGGAGCTTAAGGAGAGAAAGAAAATAATAATTGTAACTTCTTGCCAGATTCCCAGCTGGTGAAAACTGGTGTAATTCCATTGAAGTCAACGGTTTGATGGCAAATGACATCAACTGAGGACCTAGCTGCTACTTTATGATTGGTTTAAATGCATCTTATAATAAATCAGGCATTTTGGTCTTATTCTTTCCTGCTACCCTGTCCCAAAAGCTGTGATGCTACTTATTTAGCTACAGTACTTTACCTCTAGTTTATATAGCTCAGATCAGATACAAAGTGGTGAGTTAAATGGTTCCAGAAAACAACATAAGACTTGAGAAATCCAGAAACTTAATAGGTAACCATGCAAGTCCGTGAACTTATTCTGTCCAGAGTAGAATAGCAGGTCTCTTGAGATGCCGATGTAACTGTGGCAGGTTTTTGTGAAGGGAATGAGGCATTGAAGTGTCTGCCAGTCTCTCCTGTGCAGGGCAGTCTCCTTCCAAAAGGTTTAAAAGCTGGCAAATAAATTAATGGGTAAGAAAAGAAAAAAAGGCCAGGTGTGGGGAGGAGAGTAAGAAGGAACCACACAATCCATCAGATGAAATATTCCCGTTTGCACTCACTCACTGTGTTCTGCAAGTCAATGTCAGTTTTAAAGGAACTGTCGAGGTTTTCTGCGTATTCTTTCTCCTTTGCCTGGCTACTTCGATGTGTCTGTTTGTGCTGGTAGAGGAATCTGCTCATGATGGCCACGATGCAAAAGATGATGAATATTACGACTGCTATTACACCTGGGGAAAGAGAGGGGAAAGTAAGGGCAGGAAGGGAAAACAGAAACAAAGATTTTACCAGGGGAGGCTGCTTAGAAAACGTGGCAAGTCAGGGTGTAACACTGACAGACGCCGGTCGTGGGTGGGCAGGATCAAACCGGGGACCTCTGGAGCGTAGTGCATGAGCCTCTATCGCACGAGCTAAAAGCCAACCAGCTGTAGACTCATTTTATCTCTCTCTAAGTGGTCTCGGTGCCACTAGATGGGACAGAACACCACACCCAGAAAGTGTGTGGGTTACAAGTGCATCCCAATCTTCTATCCTAGCCTCCCAGGGTATGTCTACACAGCAAAGAAAAACCCACGGCTGGTCCGTGCCAGCCAACTCAGCCTCACGGGGCTCTGGCTGCAGGGCTGTTTCATTGCTGTGTAGGACTGGGCTGAAGCCTGAACACTGGAACCTCCCACCCCACAGGGTCTGAGGGCTCCAGCCCGACCCTGGACGTCTACGCAGCAATGAAACGGCCTTTGAGCCTGAACGGACTGGTGAAGGCCAGCTGCAGGTGCCTAGCTGCTGTGTAGACATACTCCCAGATGGCAGCACTGGGGCTTTCTATCCTGCACGAGGGAGGATACAGCCACCTTGGGTGGGATTCTCAAAAATGCTCAACATTGGCTTCAGGCAAGCAGAATTAGACCAATCATTGACTTCAATGAGAGCAAAGGTAGGCCAGTGCTGAGGGTTTTGAAAATGCTGTTCCCTCGTGTTTCCCCAACTTCCCTTTCTGGCCAACCTCATTCATTGGGGGCTCTCTCTTAAATCACATCTGTGTAAACCTTGTGGGAATTTGGCCCGTAGAGTACAGGTATCCTGAAAAGCAACTCACTGCAAAGCCATAGACCCTTGGGATAAATGCTGATTGTTAATGGAATGTGGAAAACAATACATGACGGTGTGAGGACCACTTGTGAATCAACCGAGGCTTTGGCGTGTAAGAGAGTTTCCATGTGGTCAGAAGAATTCCATTACACGCCGCACCGAGCTTTTCGAGAGCTCAGAAGATAGAGGAGATACGAATGCAACATTACATGACCAGTCAGAGGTGTGTATTTGCGTGCAGCGCTCACAGCTGAGCCATGTCTCAGAAAAACAGATGCTATTTTGTATGTTGAAAAGACTTGAGATCTTCAGAACATGGACGGCATCTCTCTATTTGCTTAGAGGGCATGTAGGATGATAAGCATCAGAGGGGTAGCCGTGTTAGTCTGAATCTGTAAAAAGCAACAGAGGGTCCTGTGGCACCTTTAAGACTAACAGAAGTATTGGGAGCATA